ACCATGTAAACCTCAATCAGTTATGATGCTTTCCAAGGATGAGTCAGTCTTACAGCCATTTTACAAAGATTTTATTTATTTGGGGGTTTTTTTGGGGGGGTGGGGGAAGGGAGAAGGGCAGAGAGTGGGGGAGAGAGAATCTTAAGCAGGCTCCATGTCCAGTGTAGAGCCCGATGTGGGGCTTGATCTCACAATCCTGAGATCATGACCTGGGCGAATTCAAGAGTTAGACTCTTAAGTGACTGTGCCTCCCAGATGCCCCCATTTTACAAAGATTTTTAAAGAAAACTTCTTTTTGAAATCAGATTTTTTAATGCTTTCATTCTTATTCAAAATCAGTCCAGCTCTTACTCCATAGCAGCAAGAGTTACAATACCAATTTCTGGCAGCTACAGTACTAAGTATCGTATCAGGCCTGCAAGTCATTATGAAAAGAAAAATGAAAGAATGCCTTTCCCTCCAGATGATAAAAAAAAAGTTAGTAAAGCAATTGAGGAAAAATTGCACTAAATCTAAAATGATTTGCAAAGGAATATTATGTAATAAGTTGCTTGAAGTTAAAATACAAGATTTCAAATTTTATTTATTTGATTTTGCTTATGCATTTTTTCTCTTATCCTGCGGATCTTGGTTTCTAATGTCATTAACATGATTGCTTATGTTATATTTATTTCAAAATAGCAATATCAATATTATTAGTAACAATATAGTTATTTTACAGTTTTTCTTTATGGTAAAGAATATATAGTGGGGATATATAATGAAATTACTCTGTTTTAAAGTAACTTGAAATAGTTTTCTGTGGTTAATCCACTAATCTATTTACACAGTCGTGTTCATTTGCTTCATTTTGGCTTCATTTATTTAAAAATTGCTTTGTCTTTTATTTCTATTTAGTTTTGTTTTGTGACTTTACAAAACATTTATGTAACCCCAAAGTCAAGTTACAAAGCAATAAAGACACTTTAGAGAGATAGTCTAACTCCCAACCATCCCTCCTATACTTTAGATAATAATTTTGTTAATTTTTGGCTTATCTCTACATTTAAAAATATAAGCACATATGTGAATGTATATAAGTATGTATCTAGCTATCTGTTTACCTCCCTTCTTTCTTAAATAAAAGGCAGTAAAATATACATTTTTTTGTGCACTTTTTTTTGCCTAATGAGATCCTGGATACTCTTCCACAGCAGTATATAGAGATCTTTCCAGTGTTTTTATATAGCTGTTCATTATATACCATACTTCATTCAACCATTTTTTTGTTCCAGGAATTCCTCAATTCTTCTGGAAGTGCTGATGATATTCTTTCTTAACATATGTTCTTATATAATACATATATTTCTTATAAAATACATATATATGTATATATATCATATATAGAGAGACAGATAAAGAAGGAGAGAGACAGAGAGAGATAGAGAAGTATGATAAGAGGAATGGAGATTATCTGGAAAGTTCAACATCTGCCTAAAAGACATTTTATTATAAGAAAATACAGAAAAATAAAAAGAAGAAAATAGTCAAAGATAAAAGAGAAAGAAATTCCCAGAGCTAAAGAAAAACTCACATTGTCAAACTGTAAAGGATCAGAGTATATCAAACCTAGTAAATGAAAAAAGACCCACACCTAGAAGCAAACTTTAAATGTCAAAACTTCAAAGAAAAAAAACAAACCTTAAAGCCAACTTAAAAAATATTATCTGTAAAAGAATAAAAATAGATTGAAATTATATTTTTGTGGATGAAAATTTACTTGCAAACCTTTGCACTTCTTAGGTTACTACTCAGTTAAAATTGTCTTTATATATTTATTTTCTGTTTCCATTTCCTCTCGTGAAACCATTTTCTTTTTGTTGACTTTTTAAAAGCACTTTTGATTTTCTCATCAGTTTATTGGAGTTCTTTATGTATAAGGAAAATTTGCTGCTAAGGTTTTCTGTTGTTGCAAATATTTCTCTAGTGCACTTTTAAATTACATTATATCTGAAATTCAAAAGCTATATTTATATTTAAAAAATACTGAGGGACATCTGGGTGGCTCAGTCAGTTGGGCTTCCAATTCTTCAGTTCATGTAATGATTTCAGGGTTGTGGGATCAAGGCCTGCATTGGGCTCTGCTCTGGATATGGAGCCTGCTGAAGATTGTATCTCTCCCTCTCATTCTGCCCCATCCACCCACCCCTCGACTCACACTCACTCTCCCTCTCCATCTCTGAAATAAATAAATAAATAAATAAATAATAAAAATTTTTAAATCTTTTTAAAAATTTTTTCTATTATTTTTGTTTAGATAAAACTTTTTCATCTAGAGACCAAATATTCAATTTTTTATTTTTATTTTAAATTTCTTATGCTTTCTCTTTTTCAATTCAGGTTTTAAATTAATTTTCAATTTATTTTCATGTACAGAGAAGTTACTTTTCACAACCAGCCAATTTTCTCAGCTGAATTTAATAAACACTCCAGTCATCTTTAATTTATAGTATTTTCTTTATCATATATTGATTTCATAGAAACATGCACACAGTAACATCTATTTCTAAGCTCTCTATTTAGACCCATTAATCTATTTTTATACCAACCATTTAAATTATAGTAGCTCTATAATACAATCCAATTTCTAATATCTTATAGGACAAGGTTATAAACATCTCATATTATAATGAAAACGTGTTAAAAACACATTGCCAAATGGCACTTCTAGACCTCAGTGATCTTAAGAGGAGATTTCTGTCTCAGTAACAGGCCTCTGAAACCCACTTGACTAAGACGTTTTTTGTCACAATGGTCACAGTAGTTAAGCCACTATTATAAAAAGATGAAAGCAAAAGTGGTCTTTACTTTCCAGGGTGTTTGATTGTATCTGGTGGAGGACTATGCATGTAAACGGTCAATGCCCCTTCACACTCACCCTTATGAGATTTTCTTTTAAAAGTGTTCTTTCGTATTTCTGCTCAGAAACACTGACCTCGAACACAGTTGTCATGTCTCTGGTTTGTTCCACTTAGAAAGGAAGCTCTCACTTTGGTTGAGGGGCCATACGCCTAGGCACAGATTACTGGTAAAACTGTGGCATTCTGTCTCCAGACCCTGAATGGCCAATGTGAAGCATCAGAGCTCACATCTGCAAGGGAAGAGGGAAGGCTGCAGTACATTTGTCGTACGACTCTGATTTTCCTGGAAACATGAAATGGCTTTGGGATGAATGAGCTATTGATATGACATCAATGAATTTCAAATAACTAGCCTGAATAAAAGATGCTAGACCCCCAAAAAAGTACACACTGAGGATTCTTTTCATATAAAATTCCAAGAAATGCAAATGAATTTACAATGACAGACGGCAGATTAATGGCTCCCTGGTAGGAGTGAGAGGTCAGAGAGAGAATCCAGAGGGAGGAATTACGAAGGGACACAAGAAAATTTTGCAGTGATGGATAACTATTATTTTGATTGTGAAATTGCACACTTTAAATATGTGCAGTTTTTGGACATTAGTATCTGTGTAAGTGTGTGTGTGTGTGTGTGTGTGTGTGTGTGTTTGCAGAAAACCAACCAAATAGTAGGCAAGAGGTAGAGAGTAGAAAGAGGAAGATATAAGAAAGTACTGGGGAGAAGATAAAACCAAGGAGTCTCCAAGAGATTTAATCACAGCTATAATATAACCCAGAATGGGGATCTAAACTGGCTGGCTGGACTGGGCCATGCTTTGCAAACCTTAATGTATACATAAATCCCCTTCAGATCTTAATATGCAGAGTGTGATTCCTTAGGTCTTGAGCTGGGGCCTGAGACTCTGCATTTCTCACTAACTCCCAGGTAATGCTGAAGCTACTGGTATTTCAATGATTCTTTTGAATAGCAAAGGGCTAAAGCATTTGTTCTCGGTTTGGGTTGCATATCAGAATCACTAGAGAGCTTGAAATAAATAAATAAATAAATAAATAAAATTATAAAGGAAAAAATAAACAAACACTTGATATCTGGATCTTGCCCCCAGCCCCCAGAAATTCTGACTTAATCAATCTAGAGTTCAGTCCAGATGGAATCAAAGGTTTTTAAATCTACTCAGATGATTCTAATATGCAGCCAAGGTTGACATCTACTCCAAAGAAAATGATAAAAGTCTTATGGAATGAGGAGGAAACAACTCCGAAAAGGTAATAGGGAGCCAGAGTAACATAATAAACCGTGTCCCCAGTCAGAATCAAATGTCTCCCTATTCCAACCATGCAAATTTACCTGAGCGTACCTGTATGGTCCTGACTTTGTTAGTGATGCTTTTGCGGCTTTCATACCTGGCCTGGAAATAAATATCAGGCTAATTATGAGGTAGACAGATGGGAAGCGTGGCCTTCCTGAGATTATGGCCACAGGGAAAATAAGCCCTTGCAGTGGAAGAAGCTGACTTGGAAGGCTGGTCGGACACACATACTTACCAGCAAGCACATCCACAAGGATTGCTCACTGATAGGAGACAACTCCTAGCCTGTCTCCTCCTGTCCATGATGGGCCACACACCAGGCAGGACAGACCATGCTAGATTCTTCTAACACATCCCAGCCTTGTTTCAAAAATCATTTCAGTTCGGCTAGTTTCCTATTAATGTTAATAGCTTGGAAATTATTTTTTGATCTGTGTAACAGATTTGTATCTGCATCACAGAATTCTGATTCTGAAACTACTAATGTCCCAGAATCCTAAAAATGTTTAATGAGACATGTCAATTTAATTGTACTACTTGGAATTTAAAGAATCAGAGTTTGTCAGCATTTTGCTGACAAATGTCATCCTTTGGATGCTGATCTTGGCTACGGATTAGGTTCACCATTGCTGAAATTACATATCGGGAAATGAGCTCTCTTTAGTGAAACAAAAGACTTTTTTGTTTTTCATTTAGTTGATTAAAATGCCACTTAAGACCAGAACAAACTTACAAGTATATTAAAGCAGTCTGGTTTGGTAATGGTCATTATCTTTGAACTCTGATGCAGAGGATGCTGTGTACCTGGATGATGAGAAAGAAAAGGAAGAATATGTCCTGAATGACATTGGGGTTATTTTTTATGGAGACTTCAATGACATCAAGAGTAGAAGCTGGAGCTATGGTCAGGTGAGCCATTTAACATTTGTCATTGTCAAGGACATTTTTCCTTAATATTTTTTTGTCACATGTATCACTACAAGGCCATATGTTGATATCAGACATACACAATTTCCTGCTTTTGAGGATCTGAGACTGCAAGGCCGACAGCACAGGAGCAGAGACTTCGAAAGGCAACTATGTAATTTATCCGCTGAAAGCACGTATCTTCAGGTATTACAAGGTTACCAAGATCAGAGATTCTATGGATAACATGGCATTCTAGTGAGAAATGCTTGGCATCCAGTACAGTCAAATCTCATTAGCTTAGACCTTGTTCTTCAACACGGAATAGGCTTTTTCCTTTTTTTATAAGGTAAAGTGTTTTGATACTGCTGCAAAAGATACTGCAATGGGTGTTCTCAACTCAAAGAAATCCCCTTTTTAAAATTGTTGTTAGTATAAGATCCTAGAAAATTAGAAATTAGAATTAGAAAAGACTATCACCATTTCATCAAAGAAGGGCCCACTGGACTTTTACCTTGAGACATTTTATCAACTAGAATCTCACATTACTGTTTGGATATAAAATAATAAATAGTATTCCATTTAAGATATTCAATAATCCAAACTATTTCAGTTGGATATCTCTAACAATGGAAAAAGTGACTGATATTTCTGCCATATTCCCCTAAGAATGTATGTCCTGTGATTCAGTGAAGACCCTTCATTAGCAACATGAGAAAAGATGAGTGTGTCATTTCTTGGAGAGTTTGGATGAGATGATTGGAATTGTATACCATTGTTCTGTGTATCCAGGAGGGTAGATTTCATGGAACCTGGCCTCACCAGGTTGCATCATATTTTCTTGGTTTCTGATGCCTTCTTTTGACTTCCATATGAGCTTTCCCTGCCTCCCTTACCCCTGATCCAGCCTGGCCATTGGGATCGATGTCATCACTAGTTCTTGTCTTGTCTGCCTGACTTTACAACCCACTTCTCCACCTGGACTCCTGAGAATTGCATGCCCAGTGCTCAGCCTTGGTCACCTGCACTTCTGATGTCCTGTCAAGCTATTCATCTGTGTGCTCTTCTCCTGTTTTTGGACCCCAGCCTGGCTCCCTGGTTGTAAGCCTTCCCCTCCTGAATGATATTGCCTATTGTCTAGTGCCCTAATTCCTAATGTTTAGGTGTGATTCTATTTGTGTCCCCAAAGTAACATTTTGTAGAGAGCTAATAAGGAAAGAAGACACCAAGGTGGGCAACAGGGAAGAGTGGGAAAGAATCCCAAGTGATTAGGGTTCTCCTCAGCCAACATGCTGAGTAGGCTTTGGGTAGACACCCTTGAGCAGAGCCACCATCTGTCTCTGCTGTCACTCAGAGTCCCTTAATTTGGGTCTTTTAGTCCAAACAAATATCCAAGCCAGTAGTTTGCAATGGTGCAGGCAAACAACTAGTCCTGTGACTATCTCTTTACCTCTCCAGTTCACTCTTTTATGTCCCACAGACTGAGAGATGGTACTTAATAAGAACCAGAATAATGAGTTCTTTACATATCTGAAGAACTAGTGCCCTTACATTATAACATCCATCCTATCAGTTTGGGGTACCCAGAAAGTTGGTATTTTAACTAGATTTAATAAAGAACTACATAGTAATTAGCCATTAAAATTGTGGTTTCTGTCACAAGTACATGGGTGGATATACAAGGTTTTCAGATCTCTTATTCAGTGAGATCCAGTATAGGTGAAATTTCCCCATTTTGCTATTTTATTACTATTTTGTCCTTGTTCCTTTCTTTAAAAAAAAAAAATTCTGGTGTTGCATGGGGCCAGTAGTTCTTTCTAAGGAAATCAAAATATGAACAGCCTCCCAGACTCCTCTCTGTAAGAGATCCTGAAACATCTTTAAGAACAGAGCCATCCTGCAATGGAACTGACTTCTAATCTGTTCCCTTGATAATGTAATCTTTCTCTAGACCTTCCCACCCTCTCTTTGGAGGAGTTTACCTTGTTTTAAAAGGTAGAGTCTTTTAAGACTTTAAGACAAAGAGACCATGGAGTCTACCTTATCTTAAAAGAGGAAAAAACTTGGACAATCATTCATGACACAAGATGTCCTACTATTATCAATGCAAGGTATACAGGTCTGAAATACCTCCCTATGACACAGCTGAGAGCCATTTATTTTTGAGATGTGCAAGGATTTGTGTTATTTTTGAGGTCTCAAAACTTTGGCCTGACTTTGGTACATCATTTATTCCTTTGCCTTTGGCACTAGAGCCCACATGTTGAAGAAATCTTCTAAATTAACTTAAACACAGTTTTCTGAAGAACTTAAGTCAGTTCATGATCCTTGAGTATACCAGCTCTCCAATAGTTCTATTTATGTTTCTAGCTTGCTTTTAAGTTTTTATCCATTTTACTGAAAAACAAAGGAGGATGTTTTCTTCCTCCTACTTTAATATTTCATACTAAATATTATGGGTGATTATTTTATAGGAAATGCGCATGTCTAAACATTAGGCTGTGCTTTCCTTTTTTTTTTTTTGGCAGAGAATGTGGGGCTTGCAGAGTGGACATTAAGTTGTTTCTCTTTTTTTCTTTCTACATATTTTTCATTTTATTTTTTAATTTTTCCCAAATAGTTTGAAGATGGCATCCTTGACGCTTGCCTGTATGTGATGGACAAAGCACAGATGGATCTTTCTGGTAGAGGGAATCCCATCAAAGTCAGCCGTGTTGGGTCTGCAATGGTAAGCAATTACTGATTACTATGTTGATTACATATCATTTGCCTCAGTATGATGCCAGTTCATTAAGAGTTGTTGAAATGATGACTTATACTTAAACTTTTATTTGAATTCCCTGGACTTGTCAAATGCTATGAAACAAAATCTTATCTCAGTACTATATGTTTCTTTGGCTTCAGACAAATGGTGATAGATGACATGATACCACAGACCACTTATTCTTAGAATTTCTTGCCTTGGGATTGAGGAGTGACCATGACAAAATGTCAACAACTATAATCTGTTGATCAAACAAAGAAATATCAAGGAGAACCAAAAAAAAAAAAAAAAAGAGAGAGAGAGAGAGAGAGAAAATTGCAACATATAGCTTTTCTCCATTTTCACACCCACTATAAGAATAAAGAAGTAAATGAGTCTAAATCCTAGCTTCTATTATAATAATACTTCACCATAGGGCTTTATAGTTTATGAAAGTTAGTTTAGCTTATAGTTTGTAGTTAATTGTAGATAAGTAGGGAAGACGTTATGAATACCATTTTACAAGTTAGGAAACAAGGTGATAATAGTTTGTCAGTGACAAAGCCTCAGCTGAAATCCAGGTCTGCAGACTCCCAATCTAGACAATTTGTTCCTTCCATGCTGCTTTCTAAGGGAAATCCTGAAACATCTTCAAGAATGCAGAGATCCTGCAATGGAATAGCTCCTAGGAGAGGGAATAGAATTATCATTAATAGGAAGGTTTGGGGTCAGGTGGTGAAGTGGATAAAATGTGATGCCCAGGTCCTGTGTAGTCCTGGACTGTCCTGATAAGTACAGCATATGGATCCTGCCTTTGGTGCATTAAAGCATACCAAATCTGGTCAGTGAGCAGAATATTCCTGACAACAACACTAAGCAGGATACTATTTCATACAAAGACTGAGAAAAAAAATAAGTCTATCTTATTAATTTCCTTAAGATTCCTATAAAACAAATTCTCTCTCTGGAAGAATTTTGTCTTTGAGTTTGGTTGGAGTTAAATAAAATCAATATTGTTCATGCAAACATATTAGAATGAGAATGATATGAAATATAATTTCTGGTTAGCTTTTAAGAAGTACTGTTTTTTATTGGTGGCTAAGCAACATATCATTTTAGACAAAACCAATCTCTTAAGACAATTTTGTTTTTTGTAGTTAGTTCACATTGTATAATGAAAAGATGGTGAATTCTAAGGAACTTAGGAATTTCTTTATAGTAACTATTTATAACAATATTTACTAGACTTGTAGGTGATCACTGCTATTCCTGTTTCCCAGACAAGATTCCCATTTTTCTTTTTCTTTGAAGTTACCATTGTAGGTTTGCAGTGAGAAGGAAACAACAGCTCTCAGTGGTTAAATATGAACTAATACCTTCTTTAGCATTCTGAAATGGCACGCTCACCAGCCTAAGCTTACTCACACATTGTGAATATTTTTACTAATCTAAAAATCACTGCCTAACACAAGCCACTGCAAGACAGAAGTAAACATGAAGCAGCTAACCCAATACTTTCTTTAGTGGCATCTAGCCAAGTAGAAGCAGTAGAATCTTGTGTTATGCACATAATCTTAATGCAAATTGCCTTGAGTGTTATTAGTTACAAAAAGCCTATGGAGTTCTAATTTTGAAAATCCATAACCCAATTATAAGATTTAGAACTAGACAGAATCTATGGGGATAGGTGGGGAGGGCTGGTTTGGTTTGTGTTGGCTTTATTTTTGAATGGAGTAGTCTTGGGCATTAGGGGACAGAGGCCCTAACCTGCACTGTTTTGTTTTGTTTTGTTTTTGGTTTTGGTTTTGTTTCAAGTTTTTATTTAAATTCTAGTTAGTTAACATGTAGTGTAATATAGGTTTCAGAAGTAGAATTTAATGATTCGTTACTTACATATAACACCCAGTGCTCATCACATCAAGTGCCCTCAATACCCATCATCCATTTAACCCATCCTCCTCCTACCTCCCTTCCATCAACCGTCAATATGTTTCTCTATAGTTAAGAGTCAGTTATGGTTTGCCTCTCTCTTTTCCACCCTTTCCATACACTCATCTGTTTTGTTTCTTAAATTTCACATATGAATTAAATCATATGGTATTTGTCTTTCTCTGACTGACTCATTTACCTTAGCATAATACACTCTAGCTCCATCTACATCACTGCAAATGGCAAGATTTAATTCTTTTAGATGGCTGAGTAATATTTCATTATATATACCACATCTTCTTTATCCACTCATCAGTCAATGGACATTTGGGCTCTTTCCATAATTTGGTTGTTATTGATAATGTTGCTATAAACATCTGGGTACATGTGTCCCTTTGAATCAGTATTTTTGTATCCTTTGCATAAATACCTAGTAGTACAATTGCTGGATCATCAAGTAGCTTTATTTTTAACCTTTTGAGGAAACTTCATATTGTTTTTTACAGTGGCTGTACTAATTTGCATTCCCACCAACAGTTTGAGAGTTGCTTTTCTAAAAAAAACAAATTTTCTCTTTGTTTCTTTCTCCATATCTTCACCAAAATCTGTTGTTTCCTGTATTGTTGATTATAGCCATTATGACATGTGTGAGGTGTTATCTCATTGTAGTTTTGATTTGTATTTCCATGATGATGAGCATCTTTTCATGTGTCTGTTACCCATATGAATGTCTTTTTTGGAAAAATGTCTGTTCATGTCTTCTGCCCATTTTTTAATTAGATTATTTTGGGGGGTACTGAGTTTGATAAGTTCTTTATGATTTTGGATACTAGCCCTTTATCATATATGTCGTTTTCAAATATCTTCTCCCATTCTGAATGTTTTCTTTAAATTTTGTTGATTGTTTAATCCTGGGTCGTTTTGGACAGTAATTGTTTCCATCCCCATTGTTGTTTACATACCCAAAATACATGTTTGATAGCTTTCAAAGCCTTTTCATATCCATTTTCTCCTTTAATCCTTAGAAGAGCTCTGTAAATCTTTTCAAAATCTATTCAGTTATAATGATTTTAGAAAGTGAAGTATTGAGCATCTGAAAATTCTGGTCATTTAGGCAGTTCCTCTCCTGTTCACAAATTCTAGATATCTATCCTGAAATTGTTGAGTGAAGTTAAACAAAGACTGAAAGAAAATCAAAACAAAGATCCCCCTCAAATTTCTCAAAAATTTGCCTTAAAATATGAGATGTGTTAAGAAAGCCCAGAAAGAAAATGCTCTGAAGTTGCTTGAGTCCAGTCAAAACATTGATGCCAAGGCAGAGGAGCCTGTGCCTGATTTCTCAGGGGGCTGGCCTCGTCGGCAGGAAGAACAGAGGCTGCTGCTGGGTATTTTAGGAATTCTTCTTATATATCTGCCCAGCCTGATCTCACAGGCTGGAAATTCTTTTCACGGGATACCAGTGCTAGAACAGCCAGACATGGCGACATGCAAATTCTCTGGGAGGGGTATGGCACTGCCTTCAGTTCAGTTTCCTGGGATCGATTTCTGCCACAAAGGAGTCGGAATGAGCAATCTGAAGAGGCCCCAGTAGCAACAAGAGGCAGGAGCAGATGATTGAGGCCCCAAAGACAAGTTTGCCTGCTGTGGTCATGACAAAGTCTAGCACTGAAGATTTTCAGGGAGTTGGTGGATGTGTAATGCTAAATGAGTACAGACAATAATTCAGGGGTGAAAAATTTCTAATGATAATAATAGTAATATAAATCTGGTTGTTGAGGGCATAATCCCCAGATAAAAATCTTTATGGTCCAGTGTCGATGACCTTGGATAGTTCCTTGTTGTCGGGGCTGGTCTGGGCACAAGAGGATTCTAGCTGCATACCTGGCTTCTACCCTGGAGATGACAGTAGCACCTTCCACCCACCTGTTGTGACAACCAGGAATGGCTTCAGGTATTTCCAAATGTTCCCTGGGGGTCAAAACTATCCCCAGTGAGGACCACAGCACTAAATCTTCCTATGATTCAGTTTCCCAGCCTATGCAATGGACATAACCTTCTCCTCTCACGCTCCTTCACTCATTCAAAACCTGCTGCTTTTCAGGGCACCTAGTTGGTTCAGTTGTTTAAGCATCTGTCTTCAGCTCTGATCATGAATCTGGCACCCTGGGATTGAGCTTCACACTGGGGTCCCTGCTTGGCGGGGAGTCTGCTTCTTCCTCTCCCTCTGCACCTCCCCCACTCCCCGACCTGCTCATGCTTTCTCTCGCTCACTCTTTTTCTCAAATAAATAAATAAAATCTATTTTAAAAAATCTCTACTGAAAAAATCTCTACTGAAAAAAATTCTCTACTGAAACAAAAGTGGAGGCAGAGCTCTGGCCCATGTCAGATCAGAACCCTCATCTCTGACTCTACCACTAACTTACTGTGTGACTCAGGACAAATCACTCAACCTCTCTAGGCCTCACTTCATCCTTAAAACAAAATTTTGTCTCTCTGCTCAAACCACGTTTGCTATTCCCAGTGGTAGCACATATACCCTTTTATTCTTCAAACCAATGTTCTCCTTTCTTCTGTTTTTTTCCTTTATAAATTCAGTATCTTATTTTGTCCTCATTTTGAGTTGCTGTTATTTCACTTTGATGTGAAAACTATAAAAGTTTATGACAATCTGGACAGCCTTGGGCTACTGGATTTTCGCGAGAGAAAGAAAGTCTAAAAGTCCTATAATCTCATTGTTGGGGCATTGGGTCTGAGATGTTATAACCTTACATGAGCTGACTTTTATTTAGGCCCTTCTAAATACTGAGTGGTACATTTTACCAAAGCCACACTGCAGACTGACTGAAGAAAGAAAAATTTTAAATAGAGGAAATTAGAAAAAAGAAGAAACTTGCCCAAAGTTATACTTTCTCCTTTAAATTACATTGTGTGATTGTTGTTTTCTTTCTACCTCAAATCTGATGTGACAGGCCCCACCAGAACAATTGCCAGGAAATGTGCCAGGAAAATTGTAGAAGTATGCTTTGTGCCTTCTGAAAATTCATTTTGCTCACA